TTTGAAACGTGTGCGCGAACGTCGTGTTCTAACGAGCTGAAGCGCGGGCACGTTCAAGCACGGCGATGTCACACACTACGCACCTAGTGCAGATGGGCTGATCACATGCTAGATACGGCAGCTTTAGCGAATATCAACAATCACACAGATCAAGGCCCCTCTGTAGAGTTTCTAGCGTCCACGACTGCAACCATGCAACTCGTACCGCTGCAGAACAGAACGTAAAAGTGCACGTGCTTCGTTTATATTGAACCCGCATGGGCAATAGTATACGTTTTGTGTCATCGGCTGAATATAGTCGTCATCGAACACCTCTGTTTGGCCGAACCATTGCCAGCACTTCATGAAAATCGCGTAGGCCAATAAGTGTGCTCATGCATTCCGCTCGTGCGACCCCACCGTGAGCAGCCTCCGTCTCCAGACCAGCTGAAGTTCACTCGGTTCACGAGCGGAGCCGTCAAGGTTGCCCCCGTTTGTGACTAGCAGGGGAAGGCTTACTCAGAAGAGCATCTGGCAAGAAGCAGGCCAGGCGCCGCCGTCTGAGTTTAAGTCATTGTTGGCATGCACGTGGAGAATGTGGCGGAGACGCGACCATTGGGCTGACCATGATTGCCGCACGGAGATGAGCATATCCTCCCCTGCTGTACGTCATTACGGAGTGTTGTTAGGATGCCGGGGCACCTCGCTGTCGCAGGTACACCTGGTCAGCGCACAGGGCCAGACGGTGTAATCTCCGTGCTTAGGGAAGCATCTATGAAGCGACAATAATGAGAAAGTTGATGAAGCCCGACCCTGAGAACGGCTACCAACAGAGGTCGTCCGATACACGGCTTGGCATGGGAGAGAGTGTGACACGTAGAGAACCTACCTTTTTGCGTGTTGTATTTGGTAACGTGGTTTTTACCAATGCAGTGCCTGTTATGAAAACATTTCTGGAAATGGTTGCGATGATGCGAGCCCCAGCGTGTGATTATCTTGTGTGAAGACCCTTTGTTCAACCGAGGGTAGAAAAGAGGATCTTTGAATCTTAAATGAGAGAGCGGAGGTTCGGGCTTAAAATCGGGAAGACGCCTGAGGCTGGAATAAAGCGTCTCTTCACCAGACTACGGCTCTTCCTTCGCACTGCCACCGTGCACTCGGGTCATTGACGGGACCCATTCAGAACCTCAAACATCTTCCTTAGTTAATGTAGAAGCTAGTCGAGCTGGGGGAAATTAACTCCAGCTTTCTTTCTCTCTGCATGTTTTGAATGTCAAAATCATATTATTAGTGTTTAGGAGGCAAAAGAATCACAACAATATGGCAAAATAGTTCACATTGCATAGCATATCAGAAATCAAAAAGTAGTTTCAAATTTAGAAGGTATTCACTAGAATAGAAGATAGTCAACAAGATCATGCGAAGTACAAGCAAGGCTTGCCACAACACTGCGGTTTCACGAAACCTAATTGGCGGGTAAGCAAGTGTGGTGACATGTTCGGAGGAACCACATCACGAATGCGAGACAACGCGTGCGCAATGTTTAAAATAAATATAGCAGGGCATAAGCGCACGATATGTGCCTATTGAACCCTGACTGTTAAGGCGCAAATGAACGTGAAATAATTTTCAGGAGATACTACACGTAACTGCTGCGGCAGCTTGGGCCTGAATTCATTGAGTGCTACACTCACAGAATTTGAGGGGGTACCGCAAGAGCGCAGAGAATGTGTTCTTCTCCTTCACTGAAGAAGGAAAGGTAGGAGAGGGCATGCTCAACCGGCGTGCTACGTGAAAAGTGTGGAGGAAATGACATCATGGCGGCCTTATTCACTGGGCGCAATGGCGGCATTGCTGTGGTTACGTGTTGCACAGTGAAGCTGGTCTAGAAGTGAGTGGCCGCCGCTGGCGGCGGCATGTGTGCCTCCCCAGGTCTCGTGCTGAGCCGTGGCGGACGATATCTGTGCTCTGCGCCTCGTTATTGGTTACGCAGTGTTCTCCTGGCAGTTACTGTGCTCTTAGCAACGTTTACAAACCATTCTGTCCATCACGGGGTTTCAACAGTGCGTAGAACGAGTGCATATCCATGTGTCGTGCGGCGGATGACGTGGATGGAGCAATTAGTGCTCAGTGAAATTTTGTTGGGCACCATGACGAAGCGGAACGACGACGAACGCCTTGAAGGTCAATGACGGTTGGGCAGTGCTCCTGCTTGTGGCAACGGACAAAACTGTTGTGACCAGCAAGACGCAATGAGGACCATGTACGCATACGTAGTTTCGTGTTGTGTGTGTACAGTAACGACTTGAATCTGCGTATCAAAACACCTTTTCTGTTCTGTTTCATATACTCTCCACCAGCATTGCATGTAATCTCAACGTAACAACAACCGCGTTCAAGTGCCACTTGCACCGTGCTGAAAGTCACCACGGTCGCAGAATGCTGACACCTGTGAGTTTCACGCGGAACACGGACACAGTGACCAGACGCTGCGTCGGCTAGTGGCGAAATGCAACCGTAGAAGGCGCACGACCGATCTTGTTGTCTGTACAGTTGCTGAATCAAAGACATGAAAACACTCGTCGTTGTCAGTGCATCTACCACGCGTACTCTTGTATTTGCTTCGTTGTCGGTGAGCTGTTACTCGCTGTTATTACTAGGACGAAATGATTTCGCCGAAGGTGTCGCACTGTCCCAGAGTGTTGCGCCCCGTTCCATTACTTTCAAATCGTCACAAGTGCGCTGCGCAGCTCACGTGCTTTTCAAGCCGGAGAGAGAGTCATGCCTTCTGCTTCACATTCGGATGTAAACAAGAGAGGAGAATTTGCCCAGTCAATAAGGCCGACTTGCGGCTTCATCGCAACTTCACAACAAGTGACGTCCGGGCCTCTCCTACCTTTTCTTCCTCCGTGCTCTCACCAGAGTTCTTTAACTCCATGAGGGAGTAAGGCAGGGTTGGCCGCAGAACATACTGTTTCGTTGAATGCAGAGTAAAAGAGACGGCGAACTCTCTGCTACTCAAGGAGTTCCCAATCTATGCAACTCTCGTGCTGATGAGGCGAGAATGGGATTCGACCCTTTGTATTTTCTGACCTAGCGCTTGCATGTTACCACTAACGCCACAAAGCAATGTAACTGTCTCGTAGCCATACGCCTCTGAGCGTAAATGCTCCAGTTGTAAGTTTAATACGTCAAGTAATAGAATAAGCTTCAGTTATAACTGAAGCATGCTTGTGTGATCATAAACGTTTAGTTTTGGAAGTGCAACTACCAACACTTTCGAAGCAAGAAACAGCGGCAACATCTGAAGCGTCGACAAAAGTTAGTTTACTACACAAACAAATTTTAGCACATATTGTGAAAAAAGTAAAAAAAAAAACATTTACAGCAGGGTTCAAACTCACCCCATACGTATGACGAGGCGGATACTCTACCAATACGCCAAGTTGTGCCATGCTCACTGCGTGTGAAAGAAAAAAAAACTTGAAAAATAAACACGCTCTTTCGCTTTACGGGCCGTACTTTGAACACATCGCGATTCTCGTTTCAATAACTAAACTTTGCGTCTTCATGATACGGGAACTGCTGGCGTCCACGCATTACATGCCACTAATGCCAAGACTCCAAGTTTCTTTTAGAATTCGCAACATAGAAAAGAAAATATACAAAAATTACCGAGAACATGGGGCAGATAAATTGCTGTCGAGTGCACTGGACGTTACTCGTTTTTTGTGCTAGTTTATGGGCGCCGAAATTTCATATCGACTGCAATGCTCCATAAGTACGCGCGTAGTTGATTGAATTGGGCGTATTTTCGTGCGCAAGTGGCGATATGTTATAGTGAAGTGGCCGCGTTAGAGTGGTATGATTTGCATCCTTAAACCAATAGCTGGAACAACATAGCCGATAGCTAAAAAAACGTAGTTGCATGTACACGAAAATGTCTCATCGTGTTACTTAATGAACGCGCACCGAACGACAAGCTTGTGTTCCCACGTATCAGTCAGCGAAGTGCCGACGAGTGCGCCCGGCGGCTGTCGGCGGTGGCCCGTGTGCGCTGCGCCGTAGGCCGAAAGCACGTCGCGTCGATGCTCATTGCTCCTTGTGCGCAGTCCGTACGCAAAAAACAATGGTTCATTACAGTTAACCGATGGCAACAGTCTACTGTACAGTCATTCTTACCCCTCGGCGTAGCACATTCTTAAACCCAGAAGCACCGACGGCATGTATGATGAACTCGGCCGGTAAGCTAGGCCTACATTGGCTGGTAGTTGTACGGGTCACATTTATTTGGACCGATGTCGGCGCAGGTGGCTCGTGATGGTTGACGTTTGAGCCATCCGCAAGCCTCTAATTGTTGTATTAAACTGTAGACGAGGTAAGCAAAACTATAAGCATTGCCAGAGATGCGTTTTAGTTGTGGTTTTGCCGACCAGTTTTGTTTTTCTGGCGTAATAGTACACGCCGCGGCAGCGCAAGTCGGATCGGACGCCGGATCGTAACGTTCGTAGATTATTTTTCGGGCGGCACTGCTGACAGATCGCGCCATCTGTGTAAGCGCCTTAGTACAACTCTCAGACTTGCACAAGTGGCTTCGCCGTATTGAACCAATATAACAGGATAGCAGATGATAACTGGAATTTAGTATTGAAAATCGCGTTGTATGTCATGCTGTTTTATCATAAAAGGTCGACGTGCCTACAAAGTGCCTAACGATCACCAGATAGTTACACATTCTAGATGTATATTTGCTCTTCAAAACGCGTAATATAAATGTAGCGCCACCCGCACCAGAAAGGGGCTAGATATCATGAGTATAAATACCGGTTGCTGTGCATATGCTTCTCGGTAGGAAGCGCAGCAACTATTAAACGAAACACACAACACAGGCGCTTGTGTTGTTTTTTTCGTGTAATTACATTTGCGGTATAGGTCTTAATTCTACTACATTCACAAGTATGATAGAAGGGTAAGGTGTGCGTTCCTGTCTGACTGCTCACGCCGACGGAATTAGCTCTTACCAGGACATCCTCATCTGGTTGAGACTTCGGAACAGCTGCTTCGTGAAAGCCAGGGGATGCATGCCGTTGATGATTACCATCTTGTCGATCATGTTTTCGTATAATGTTGCGAAGCAAAATGCGATCATGCCGCCCAAGTCATGCCCGACGAGGATGACACTTCTCTTGCGTTGAGGGTCTTGGGGATAGTTGCAGGAAAACAACATTTGCAGAACAGCTGTTAGAAGCAGTACTTTTGGTTAATCACTTTCGGCTGCAAATTTCATTTAGAACGATGTTGCTTTACCTTGGCGCAGCTGCGTTTGATATAAACACGTTCGAACACGGTCACTGGTACTTCATGCTACTTCAGTTGAAAAAAACTTGAGGATTATTTAGATTCAAATAAAAGTTACGGCACCTTACTCACCTTTTATGTTAGCCTGGAAGGTTCTAGTTGCATAAGCCATCCCTCGATTCGTTAACAAGAAACCAAGGTAGCATTATTTTAACAACACGTACCGACTGATGACATTTTGCTTTAGAAAGGAGGTTGGTTTCGTCGTCATGGCGGGAGATCAATCGGATACGTGTTTTTTAGGTGCGCGTTCAAAGCGAAAATTTTACTTTCTAGTGGCGCGTCATCCAGATTTGCTCCTTTTTGCCTGTTATTTCACGCCTTTTATTAAGGTTAGTTACGTTGTTTGACACTATCAAAATAATTCCATGGTGTTTCTTTGTGTTAGCAGCGATATTTCTATAGATAAGAGCTCCAGCCCCAGTTTTGTTTCTGTTCGATGAGCCATGATATTACAGAATGTGCCATTAAACACGTTTCTATTCAATCAACACCTTTATTTGGTTTGTGATCACTTGGGTCGTTGCTGTGTGACAAGACAAGAGCATGTTCAGCGCGGCAGGTCCAACAAGTGTCATATTCTTCTCACATTTTCTTAAGCTGGTTCTCGTCGTACGAATATACCTGAACAATATAGCTTACTATAGAGTTATATTTTAAATCTAACAACAGTGCACACTTTGCGAAGACAGGGGAAGAAACACGAGACACAGGTGCCTTTGCCTCGGTTTGTATATGTGTCTTCGGGAAGTGTGCACTATTTTTCTTTGTGATAATGACCTGTCATCCAACTCGAGCTGCGTTACTCAAAATATGCTTACTTATTTTGTGAAGTAGTCCTTTCACATCCTCAATGAGGTTTGTTATCAGGTAGTGCCCGCTGTCTTTTGGCCGTGTAGTGTTGCCATAACCACGTAGATCAGGCGCTACAACGCTGTCAATAAAGTGTTCGATAAAAAAATTAAATGCATAAATATGTTGTTTATTTTGGGCGTGTTTATTAGGCACTCTGAAATTTCCGAAGCAGATGTGTCTGAATCTTAGCATATGGTTTTCTACGATAAATGCTCCAGAAGGATACATGCCTTTTCACGCCAATATTAATAAAAAATGAAAGCTGGGCCATCACCACTTCTTTACAACAATGAAACTTGCAAACTCAATGCAGGTCCTTCCAGTGAAACCGTATAGGAGGAGGTCATCAGAAGCACGGTACTCTGAAAGCAAACCCAGGCTATCTGAGGGCCCAGGAAAGGGCGAAGTGTCATGGCGTTTTGTCCTCTACGTGGAAGCGGCCAATGGTTACGACAACCGTTGGTTAGGGGGTCTTGTAAGCAACTCTTCAGGATGAATTAGAGCTCATTGTCTGTCTGAAAGTGTGTCTTTTTGTATATTCTACCTCAGTGTAGGTATGCAAGGATATGTCAAAGTTGCTATTCTATTGCTATTATTATTTTCGACTGACCTCTTTCTGGTGAATTCATCGAACACATACGTAGACGTACTACGCCACACTGGATTGTTTTGAAACTCTCGATTCATAGGGCGTTGCAACATTCTAAACGTAATGGTTTTAGAGATTATAACTTGTTCATTTTACGTATAGAAATTAACAGAATGCTGGGTTACCGATCACCTAGATAACTAAGACGAATGGTAAGAGTGACATCTTGTGCACGCTCTTATCACTTTGATGCCCAATACAATGTTTTGTCCCTAGAGTACGTTCTTGCAAAAGAGGTAAGAGCTTAGGGCTTTGTCTTGCACTGGCGCTGAGACATCACACCAATGTCTGTGTAATAAAGTAGTGGTTGATTACGAAAATATGTCTGCTCTTTCTGGACTATAGAGTGGTGGGCAAGGAGCGAATTTGCCTCATGTCTGTGAGTTATGAAGATCAAACGTTGTTGTTCGATGGAGCTAACCGAATTTCTTTTTACTGTTGACGTCCACGACTTTAGTGGTATTCGTATTTCGTTTCTGCATTGTGGTGCACTCCCAGGGGAGGCTGTGGCTTGTCTAAACTTCTTTCTCTGTTTCTTGGACGGCAACAGCGGGCCAGTCCAAAAGCAGGCTGTCCGCCGACGCTGTTTCTATGCCCTTGGGCTTTTCACAGCAAAATAAAGAGAAAAGTACAGCATCCGCGTTCGTGAAAATTTGCTCCTCCACATCGTACAAATCAACCACCGCCTCGCGTTCACCTCCGCGCGCAATGGGCTGACAATACGCTCAGTAAATAATTAGAAAATTCTTCTAACACGACTGAGAATCCTTGTTGAGCCTGGTAAATGAAAAGAAGAATTCAACTATAGAGACGTCACGTTGTGGATAGCTGGCTGACTAAAACGATAGATGTACACACTCGCCGTCAACCTCTAATATATTATCACCAATATGACCAGCGAGAAATAGAACACTCACGAGCTTTAGGCCAACAAAGTGACCAGACAACATAGAAGATACTGTCAATGGGAAGACCATGCGATGGTAAGCGCCAAACAACAACGGATGAACAATTTGTGTGGGAAAGGAGCCATAAATTTAAGTCTGAACTCGGCAGATTAATCCATATAAGCATTACCTAACTGCACATTTCGCGCTATATAAACAGGTGTGAAGGAGGCATTGTCGCAGAAATACGGATGTCGGCATTGTGTGTGAGCGAGAAATTGCAATACATGCAAAGAAATGCTTTCTGCATGGCAGTCAGGTTTCCTATGCAGTTGTCAAAACCTTACGAATGTTTTATGTAGAGCAACAAGTTGCATTAACACGAGTAGTGCTCCGTACCGGAAACTTAAAATCGCATAATATCATGTGGATAGCTCAACAAGTCGGCGCTTGAAATCTACACAAATTAAACAGTGTTTAAGGGTAATTAACTATCATTTAAATGTAAACAAAGCTGATTGCGGCGCAGGTGCGCTTATTACCTAGCTGACGGTTCTTGGTCATTCAAAAATGTGCAGAAATGTTGATAATTGCACAATCGGAACTGTGCTGGGTGCACTAAAGCAATCTGGGAGTTTAAACCGGTCATTGTTACACGCACAGACATTCCTTTCCTCGAGGTGTGGCTGAGAGTCCCATTGGGAAGCCAAGTCTGCCTCGCAGATAAGAAGGTGATGCGAACAGGCTTCCCATTTCGCGTCGCGTGTTTGTGCTCTACACCAGATGTGCTACTGTACTTTGGTTAGAAGCTGGTGATAAGAACATACCAGAAGTCTTCTGCAAGCACTGGTATCTGCCTGTTCCAAACGTACCAGAAATCAAGAAATCCATGCAACAGAAGTATAACAGGACGCCTCTCAACATCACAGCCTTTCGTGACGTAATGCATAGTAATATTCTGAAAACAAAGATTCAATTAAAGAAACAGCCGCTAGAGTGGTTGCGTGCAACTAACCAAAAACTGTGCGAGGAAATAGCAAGGACAAGAAAAGAAAGCGAGAAAGGTGAAGAGCAGCAAACTGTTTATGTCATTGTGTTCTGTTCTCGACCAGAGTTCAGTTTTCCGCAGACTCTCGTTATTATGAATTACAATACCTTTTTTTAGTTATAGATTAAAGTTTAAAAGAGTGCATTTGTTGGAAGAACAGCGGTATAGGCTTAGCCGTCATGGTTTTATTAATTTACCACCTGCTTACAGTAACTACTTGCGATCTTCATAAGTACAAATAGGTGCTAAACTGTTTCATAAGCTCCGTTGAATAACAGTCATTCAACCTTTCTGATCACTTTTATTCGCATTTGTGAGTATTTTGAAATTCTCTTCAGCAACTTATCACAATTACACGACACGTTATCGACACAGTAGGCAACTTTACTTAAGCCACCCTAGTCTCTTGCCGCCCTAGTCTATTGAATCGAAATGCTCGAGGGTACTTAGACTGGAGTGCACGTTAATGAACACGAGCTAGTGAACATTTTCGGGGCCCTCTACTATAGCGTCCCTCATAATCACATTGTCGTCTTTGGATCCGAACGTCCACAATTAGTGGGAAAATTTCGCTTGTACGTATACTTCTTTACCTTACCGGGCTGCCGGATGTCGCAAGGAATCTGCGCAAGCGTGAGCCTTTGCAGAACCTAGTCTTCTGCACAAAGTAAACTAGTCTCCAGATAGGCTTCACGTTTACGGTCCTATTTTGCAAGTCTACCTTCGTTCATCGCTACTCTTCAGATCCGCTTGCGGAAATTTTGGCTACCGAGTCAAAGTAAGACAAAGGGTGAGCAATCACCTTGTCTGTGCCAGATTAACGAAACTTTAGAGTAACATAGGACAGCGCCACCATGGCCGTGAGAGGCCTCAAGTCCCTGACAGGCTAGAAAGGTGGCTATATCTATCGGGGCAGCATGAACCAGGCAAGCATGAAATTTTTATTAGGACAGACACCATGCGTTGTATTGCTAGTGCAAATACCTTGCGGGCATTACGAATGAATTTTCTTATTTCGAATTCCCCGAAAACAGTTCACAAAAACCCAATTTTAAATACCACGGTTGCAGAAAAAGTCAAAAGATGTTGAAATCATTGTTCTGGAACCCGGTATTGTTACCACTGTGCACGCTAAATCACTCTCATGAATTTACCGCAGCAGTAATTCATACTTGTTTGATTAGATACAATTAAACGTTTTAAATACAGTTGTCAACTCTCTTTAGTGATCTGCGCAAGGGTAAAGATTAATGTTTACGTACGCAGGAAGGCCTTTAGATATGGCGAACTGAAAATTTTTAAACCATGCGTAACACGGTAAACGCAATTAGGTATCCGGTAGCACGGTAACGTAAAGAAGTATACGTACAAGGTGAAGGCCCCTCATTTTGGTCCGCAGCCACTTCAGAGTTACGAAAACACAGTAAGAAAATGTTAGGCCTAGTCCTGACGGGTATACTGCTTGACTCTTCAACTGTTTTTATTTATTCTACGTTGTCACAACATCATAAGAGTCACTAACTAAAAGGCCAAAACAAAAAACGCTGTCATGGGATTCGTATTTTAGCGGACAGAATGATTACGTTGCGTTGGTGATGGCCACGTACCAATAAAAAGGACGATGTTATTTTCTGTTTCCTTCGCTTTATCAAAACAACACTCACACATAATACACAACAACCAGTATAAAATGTAACTAAGCACTTTTACAGCAAACCACAAGAACTCACACGGATAAGCAAGCTAGTCCAAGCATAATCAAAACAGTCTCGCCGGTGAGTGTTTCTACTGACGCGAGAGACGTCTAGGCGAACAGATGCGAGCACGGTTATGCCGTGGTTGAACGAATTCGGCGAACAGCAGGGTGAGGCTCAACTGTATGTACGACAGAACAAGTAGGTGCCATAGACAGGGCCGATCAAATCAGGCCATCATCTACTCGAACACGCGGACCAAGGACCACGGCCAAGCACTCGGGCCTACGTTCAACATTGGACCAGGCGACTGCGGTAGCATCCCAATGGCTCGATCGACTATCGAAGTTTGATGTCAAGCGAAGCAGGTCACTCCGACTCTTGGACAAACCACGACCGTGGCGCTGGCGAACCGCCTCGACCGGGCTTCATCCCCAATTAACACCACCATGCCAAGTGCATTCCACTCCTTAGATCACGTCCCCGACGTCTCCTTGGAGCTACTGGGTTGCCGCGTGGAGAAGTGATTGACCCCTGAAACCTTCGTAGTAAGTGCTGATTGGGCCACATTGCTTTTATCTTGTTGACGTAGTGCCCTCGTACGTATCTTCATTGTCGCCATCTTTACTGGGTTTCTGCTTGTGCGTGCACTCATTGTCTTCTTATTTTTGGTGTCGCACACTTTTTCAAGCCACTCACCGCGCGCACTGCACTCATCAAAGAAACCAATATTTTTATTCGGAGACTTTATTCCGAGGGCAACCGAAGACTTGCGCTATAACGATGTCGTGAATCAAAGTCGTTAGTTTTCGAAATATGCGAGTGAGACACCTTTTCTCTTCTTAGACGCTGCACGTAACATCCGCCTGATTTATGGCACTCGCGTGAGGTCTTAGAATATACACCACCACTCGAGTCGTGCATGCAGTCTAATTAGACAGAACTATAATGACCGATAGCGATCCAGTACATATTGAATAGTACGTTCCCCTTGAATGCTAGAAAGCCGTCTTTAAAGTCGGCGCGCTTTTGGTGACTTGCTTGTTCAGAGTTTTTGGTGGGTTCTGAGTGCAAGCGACCCGGCCATAAAGCGATCTATTAGCGGCTTATAGCGAGCCATAACATAGGTGGCAATTCTATCGGAAAAAGCGAATTTTGTGAAAACGAAAATAAGCAAGCGTGTCAACATAATGCTCATTTTGCGTCACTCCTGTGGTTGGTTAATTGATTACCTTGGTTGGCCTTTATCGGGAAATATGTAATTGTGCGCTCTCATAGAAGTTTTAACTTTGCTGCATTTTCTGGCTGCGGCAATTCTTACGTGGGCTTTCCTGTAGATTTTATCATTTTCCCGTGCTTAGCGTTAGGCTAGCGGCCTTTTTAAGTTGTTAATTATGACGATAGCATTATTTGAACGTACCAACGACACAACTTCATTACGACGCACTGGATCTCAACATCAAGGATCATGAATGAAATCATGCACATGGCATGAACGCACAACTGGTATTCTGAAAAGAGGAACTGTACGTTACGAGATGACAGATTACATACCATTAGTTGTGAATACTCGTGTCGTCCGAAGGACTCACTGTAAAAGTCGTTCGGTATTGTGCGATTGAGTGGCTTCAAAACTTTTTCACCGTGAATTGCGACCTGAGGTTTCACGTAGGCTTGCATCCATATCCAGATGCTTGTGCCAAGTGTGAGAAATAGTGCTTTGCCGATAATAGGATTCACCATCCTTGTTAAAGCGCGCCGACGATCCCGTAAAGCATATCTGTCAGAAAACAACATGACTGGGATGGCGTAAAAAGCATTCTATCTACGCCAAAAAATCGTATAATATTGAATAGGTAAGCGGAACGCCTAAAATCACATCAATAGACACTGTGTACCTAATAGAATCTATGTTTAAGACTGCATACGCTTGAATGGAGGCTTGATGTTGAGACACAGAATGAGAGGAAGCGATGAAGGCAAGAATGGCATGAGGACATCGAGTACAGTTTCTTTTTTTTTGTAGTGTACAATGCGAAGAAAACAATTACAATGATAGTCTCTTAGCATAATTTTTTTTATCATGAGCACACAAGAGAAACAAACGAATCAACAGACGAGGTGGGAAGAAAAGCCAGGTGCTGTGTACTTTCTTTCTTTCTTGGATAGACATAGAGATGTAAAGAGAGTATCCTGTTGCAAGCGGAAATGTACGGTGATTGGCTCAAGAAAGTCGAAGTCACGGTTGCGCGTATATTTAGTGAGGCAAATAAAACATGTCTGCGAGAAACACACAAAATGAGTAGAAAACCTGCTGCTTGGCTATACTGAACTCTACATCATAGCGGAGGGAACATGCAGTACGTAGAAATGTATTCTCTATTTTTAGACTCCTACGTCTGACTTGCTAATCAAAGGCTTAATGAGCACAATATTCCGCCTCTTTACATCTGCACCCATAAACCACCAGTTGTGTATCACTACAAAATAACTGTCCACATGTGCCTTGATAATAGTTCAAAAGCAGTGCCTTGCTGCCTCTTAGCGGTTAATATTTAAACGAAAGCGAGACCGAATGATGAAGTATTTGGTACAAATACTTCTTATAAACCTAAAGCACGAAATAAGGGCACGGCACCAGCAGTAGTGTTTTTCTCTCCGTCTGTGTCTCGCCTGTAGTTTTTGAATTGTTGTTTTTTCCGCTTCATCTCTCTCTTTCTGCTCCTATTCATTGTAGCTAAGCGCCTTCTTTCAATCAAACACGTGCCTTCAGAATATTTTATTGCCTAGTGCGTATATGAAAATTTCAAGGTGCATTAAAGCGCAAAAGCCACACCAGAACAGCCACAGAACACACTATAATTTGGTAAAGAGCACTTTATGCGTTTCTGAAATACTCCATCAACTACTTTTCCACAATTCGTATCATTTAGCATGCTTGCTGAGAACCTCAGATTTTTGAAGTGCCCAGTCTCTTCAAGTGCTTCGCTAAACCACCCATTTTTCCTTACAAGCATTTCCACAGAGAACTGTTGTGGATAGCTCGTATTATATTCTTGTGATCACTCATAATACTCGTCTCCCGTGAAAAACTCCTCCAATGTGAGGGTACGCAACTTCCATGTGCACGCTTTCTGTTCGTTGTATTAACGACGAAGAGGAAGCCATCCTCGTGTCATCTTTCGTGCTGAAAACAGGAAAGATGGCAAGATGTTGGAGCAAGATGGAAGATTGAGCGCGTGTCTTCACATAGTCCCGGCGCAGTGGCTCGCGCTCATCACCGATGTGTACTTTGCCCCGCGTAGAGAATAAGGGTGTGTACCCCGATCGCACGCCCTTATTTTGCAGTAGGGAGGATCGTATGTCTTGGCTGGCCTATGGGCTTCGCCGGAACAATTCTTTTGTATTTACCGGGCGCGCTAAGGTCACTGCAATTGTTGTAGAGTCTCTGTTTCTGAAAAGAGCGCGCTTTTCAGACTCTGAGAGGTAACAACTGACCGCTTATTCGCGTTCATCTGTACCTGTGAGTACGTTTCGTGCTCATTTGTGCGTGAGAAGCGCGGGGCACGTTTCGATCTGTTTGCTATTCTGCGCGTGAGCTTCCAATTTGTTGTCATCGCATTCATTGCTTCGCCTTTGAGGCCAAGCTGAGGCTTTTTTCTTTCTAGCGTTTTCATATATATAGATACTTATACATATACGGGGAGTGACGCTGACGCCGGCGGCAAAATACAGCCGAGAGTGTCCATATATTTCTGATCGCAATAAAAATGACAAATTTACACATCATATAACTGAACTTGCCTTACCCGAAACTAGTTTGCTTTTCAAAGCACACTACGATGGTGATGATGATTGATTAATTGATTTGTGGGGTTTAACGTCCCAAAACGGGTATAACGGGTTGGGGGGTTTAACGTCCATATGATTATGAGAGACGCCGTAGTGGAGGGCTCCGGAAATTTCGACCACCTGGGGTTCTATAACGTGCACCCAAATCTGAGTACACGGGCCTACAACATTTCCGCCTCCATCAGAAATTGGTGATGATGATGATGATGATGATAATGATGATGATATTGTCCTTTACTAACGCTGCTACACGTTTTCCAAGTCAATACTCGTTGAATACTATGACACTTGAGTTAACATCTACCTACAAGTACCTCGGTCTCCACTTTCAATCGAATCTATCTTGGCACCACCATATAGAAGTCACTCTTGCAGCTGCTAACCGGTCTCTCGGGTTACTGAAACGAAATCTTAAACAGGCTCCATCGCAGTTAAAAAAAACTTGCTTTTACCAGTTTAATTCGCCCTAAAATAGAATATGCCAGTGCCATTTGGGATCCTCATCAAGCCTACATCGTATCAAATATTGAATCTTTGTAAAACCGAGCTGCTCGTTTCATTTACTCAGATTATTCTACCTATTCCATTGTAACTAACTCAAAAAACCGTGCTGAGCTAGAGGATTTGGCCATTCGTCGAAATATGCACGCCTATCACTTTTCCACAAACTTTACAATCACCCATCATTACATGACAATTCCTTTGAACCCGCCTGTTCCATTTTTCCCCGCCGTTATCATCCTAACAAAGTCAAACGCCCGCTATCTCGCACACTTCGTTTCGCTTAGTCATTCATCCCGCACACTATTATTGAGTGGAACAGTTTGCCTGCACATATTGCCACCGAGAAAGACTCGGTAAAGTTTTCAGAGCTCATGCGCACTACGGTGACTAGCTAAATATTTTTTGCTTTTGTTGTTTTGTTTTCTTTCGTTTTTTAACTATTGTATAACGGCGTGCTATTGCTGCCCGTATTCATGGTTTGCGCTTTGTTGCGGTTGTCAGGTTGCACTGTATCTTGCTGTAAACCATGTTCTATTGCCCCCCCCCCCCCCCTATGTAATACCCTCTTCTAGAGGCCCTTTAGGGGTAACCCGAATAAATAAATAAATGAATAAATAAATAAATAAATAAATAAATAAATAAATAAATATCTAAACCATGGCTCGTACCCACTAAGGGAGATTGGCCAAGAAATGATTATGCGCAGGCCTTTCTGGTAACAAGTAATCTTATTAAATAGAAGAAAAAGAGCACCTACCATCAGAAAGAACGCAATAATTGTTACAATTCCGACCAGACACAATAGTCTATATCGTGAATATAAATCACAGTAGTGCCATAGAAAATAAGATTATATGTTTTGAGTTTGCTCACAAATGCTATAATAATACATATACAAGTAGGAATAAAAGTCGCATTCATTGTGTTTCAGGAAGGCAACTGCCAAAGCATCAAAGGCGTTCTTTTGGCTGAAACCTATGTCCGAGGCAACAAATTTTCATTGCAAAGGTCATCTGTAGGCTAGCAGTCGGGATTACAATCAGTCGTTTTCTTAACAATCTATAACAGCAACATGACAAAAATAATGATCTATTCGTTCAATTTCTAAACTTACGTTTGAAAGGGATGTGTCGCCAGACCAGCCTTGTGTGAATATATATTCAATGGAGGCAGATGACATCGTAATCTAATTGGCATGACTTCCAGTAGTCAAGCAGGACACCACTCCGTTTTGCAATGAAATTGTTAATGTGTAAATTCTGTGCATGATTTGATTGATTCTTTGGCATCTACATGAAGAAAAAGTTAACTATACATTACCGCAGGCATATTGGCTGCTACCGGAAGGAAAAAAAAAAACTATTGGCCCATTCAATGCTGCTCGAGATAGGGAGCCTGCAAATTGACCAGTTACCCATAATACTTTAAGAGCTTAAGTTCTGGAGAAATTAGTCTTTGAGAGAGCCAATTTAGATTCAGCTGTAAGCGATGTGCATACTGAAAGGGACTCTTTAGTTTTAGTTGCCGCATGAGTGTATAAAGTTAGTTTGCGTGGTGCTTGTGACCCGACGTTGTCGGTTATTGCGCCTTAGTTAAGAAGCGGGTTCGTGGACTGTAATACTGATAAGACTGATTTCCGCAGTGAAATTTCCTTCGAGAATAGATTTCCGCCTTGCAATTTCCTTCAAGAGTAGTTTGGTGCTCATGACTGGGTTTATTTAAGAGAACTTCAAATTTAGTTAACACCCTTATAGCGATGCCTATGATTACATCAAGAAATTGTATTTAAAACTGGCGCCGTAGTTTTTCATCGGGCGAGAAGGAAGGGGACTAGAGAGTAATGACCTCAGGTTCAGTTTTTTTGGTTCACAGAAATGAAAAAGTATTCATAGAGTTGATAATTACTTACGCTGCATTTATCAGCTGTTTTATGTATGCCGAGGGAGTTGTAGCTGACGCTCCCATAAGGCAGGTCTTGCCGTTCGATGGACAGATACTGAAATCACAACGCAGTAGTTTGTTACAATGGATTAAATAGCCCTTTCCTAATTATCATGTGTTTATTATTTTAGAGGCGTAGCTCCCAAAAGCGTGGGTCTGTGCCTTCCTTGAGGTATGTAGTCTGTGGTAATAGTAGTAGGTAGCAACTTCTAGTTTAGTTCTTGCAGTGTTCACTAGATGGCGGTAGTTAATGCGAGATGTTCTTTATTTTTGCTTATTTATTTGTTTTACCCTCAGGGCTAAATGGGATTACAGAGGGGGGTGGCTTATTTACAATGAAAGATTTAAATGAACAAAAAGCAGTGAATATGGTCAGATCGTTCAAATAAATCTCTTAAAAGTACAATGTGTGGTAATACACTGTATAGTAATACATCTTAGGTAATATAACACTGAACCTAATTATAAAATGTTA